AGAGGGACATCATGCTTGGTAGGGTGGAGGGACAGCGCAGGAGGGGAAGACCCTCTATGAGATGGATTGATTCGGTGACTGGGGCAATCGGGATGGGTGTGTCAGAGGCAGTGCAGTTGGCGCAGGATAGAGCAGGGTTTAGGGTCGCTATGAGTCGAAAACAACTTGAGGGCACACAACAACAACAACAACAGTGCAAATGTAGGGTTTTGGCAGTGCAGTTGGCGCAGGATAGAGCAGGGTTTAGGGCTGTTGTGCATAGGGTCGCTATGAGTCAAAAACGACTCAACTGCACATAACAACAACAACATAGATGGCCTGACAAAGTATGGTAAAATGGTAACATCTAGGTCAAAGGTACAGAGAAATTATTTGTACTATTTGTGCAAGTTTTCTCTAAGTCTAAAATTATTAGTGGAAAAAGTCTTTAAAGCAGCTGTTGCATAAATAAAGGTGGAGATACCTTTTAAATCTCCCAGAAATAGATACCTACCTCGCCCTGTGTGAGGAAGTTGGCCATCAGTGCCCCCTTCACAGCATTCTGCAAATCACAATCTGAGAAGATTATGAGTGGAGATTTGCCTCCAAGTTCCAAGGTCACAGGTTTGATTCCTTTCGCTGCCATCTCCATGACCTTATACAACAAGAACAACATAAATTAGATTGAATACTAAATTCAAGGAGCTCTGACGGCAATAGTCCACAGCCAGTCGTGCTGCTAGCCACAAGCTGTCCATCTCAATAGGTTTGAATCCACCAGCTGTTCCAAGGGAGAAAGATGGGCAGTTTTCTCCTGTTGCAGTTCAGAGCCTTTGAAATCACCAACTTGATGGTGGTGAGTTTTTAACTAAACTCAACCTACAAATTCATCCTGAACTGTACAGAGCCTGTAGCCTTATTCTCATCACTATGTTTTAACCCTGTATCCATTTAAAATACCATTCTCCAGAAAATTGAAGAAAATCCACAGAGCTGCACAAGACATTCTGAAAAGGAAGTTCATTTAAAAATACTGTCATTCACGGGAGGTCTGGTGGCCTAGTGGCAAAAAGCCGCACTGATATCCCAGAGGTATGCAAATCAAATCCACCAGATGCTCTGCTGGAGGAGGAACAATCTCCTATACAAGTCAGATCCGATTTTATGGCCCATACATAAAAATACTGTCATTCACATGCTATCCACATTTTTTGCTATTATTACTATGTTTAAGGTTTTTGGAGCTTAGTGCAAATTAAGGACAAAATAATAAACCTTAAGTAACCCAGGCTGGGTTTAGAAGGGGTCGTGGTACTAGGGATATTGTAGCTGATGTTAGA